TCTCTCTGTCTCTCCATGAGACGGTGCCAAGGGGTGACCGAGGACCCCAGGGGGGACTTCCTTGGCCGAGGTTCCGCCGTCCCCTTGTGTGGCACATAAAGGACATTATTGATGGATGCGTTTTTTGTTTTATTTTTTTTCCCCCCAACTGTGATAAAAAAAAAAAAAAAATCCGATATCCTTGGCTGAGTTCCAGAAACCTCAACTGCCTTTTGTCACGTTGGGGTCCTCGGAGGTCCTTGGGGCCACCCAAGCGTCCCCTGGGCATGGCGGGGAATCTTTAAAGCAGTGTGGTCACGGAAATGGATGCTTTTTCACATTTCACAGGGTCAGAAGTGGATTGGGGGGGGGGGGGCGGAGGGGCGGGGAGGGGACAGGTAGATTCCAGGAGCCAGCGTCTGCAGGGTCACCTCGAAGACCCTTGATTTTATTTTATTTTTTTCTGGTTTTTTTTTTTTTTTTTCCTTTTCGCTCCTCAGTCCTGCGGGATGCCAACCTGTCCTGGGTGGGAGATGGGGGCGCTGGGTTCTGTTTCTCCCCGGGGACGGGGGGGGGACCCTCTCTGGCTGGAGGGGACAGGGGACCGGACCGAGGGCGGGCGGGGGAGGGGACCGCGCAGCTATACGCGGGTGGTGGAGTGTCCGTGGGGCAGGTTGGTACTGTTCTGCCCCCCGCTGAAGGTGTTGAAGGTGTGCAGCGGCTGCATGCCCGTCAGCGTGTTGGGGATCATGGTGATGGTGTTGGGCGTCATGAGTGGGATGTCGTCCGGGGACCGGCGCAGGGTGAGCGTGTAGTCGGGCGGGCAGGTGAGCCGCAGCGTGTCGTGCGCCTGCAGGGAGTCGCACTCGTGGTCGTGGTCGAGCTGCTTCATCTGCAGCGACAGGATCTCCTCGTTCTGGATGTGCGCGATGTCGTTGGTGGTGTTGCGCTGCGGGCTGGGCCGCCGGTGCGTCTCGTGCCGCCTCTTGTCCTTCTTGTAGTAGAGGGCGGCGAAGGCCAGGATGTTGAGGAAGAGCAGCGAGGCCCCCACGGCAATGGTGACGCTCAGCTCGGTGGAGTAGTCGCGCTTGGTCTCGATGAGGACCGTGGTGTCCTCGGGCCCTGTCTTGTGCGAGTCCTTGCTGTGCTTGGGGCTGTTGGCCGGCGTGATGGCCGGGCGCTTGGTGGTGGGCCAGATCTTGGCCGGGGACCTGCGGGTGCCGTAGGGGAACGAGGTCATGTCCGGGGGAGGGACTTTGGTGGTGGTGGACACGTACTGGAAGATCTCGTTCAAGTTGTGCAAGTGGGGGACCAGCTCCAGCCAGAAGGCCACCTTGGTGGCCCGGTAATGATCCCTCACCCGGGGCTTGAGGCCGATGTGCAGGTACAGCTGGTCCTTGGGGTTGTACTTGGACCAGGCCACCTCCTCGAAGCGGTTGGGCTTCGTGTGGATGAACTTGGTGTCCTGGGGCACGGGCTGGTTCGGATCCCTGGGGAGAGAGGAGCAGGGGTTAGCGAAAGGAGGTCACCCTCAAGTGCATGGAGATCTCTGCACGACCCCCCACGTGGGGATCCGTGACAGGGTCATGGCCCGCGATTATCGCCGAGCTCAACCCAGGCACCGTTCTGCTTCGATCCAAGGTGCGTCTACCATTTTGAAACCAAAGGTAAGTCCCTCTTGAAGGATAATTGTCCCCCACAATTTCCCTGCTTTTGCATTGCATGCAATTTCTTTCAGTGAAGGAATTGGACGATTCCATGCCTCAAAGCGAATTTGCTATTTCAAATCGATTTGAAATGGTCCATCTCAAACCAGGGGTCATTTGTCCCATAGGGACAACGGACAGCGCTTGGAAATATTTTTTTTTTGGAGTGTGTTGCTCCATGGGGTATAGGTCAGGAATGGTGCTAAACATCTCCAGGGAACACTGGAGATACCACCTTAAAAAAATAATTAAATAAATGCATAAAAACTATCCCCCGATGTGGACAGGAGGGACGGAGAGGATTCTGGATTTCCGAGGCTACTCTGGCTGACCCAGTGAGCACTCTCTATCTCAATCAAGAAGGGACATTGAAGTCCTTGGACAGATGCTGGGATTTTAGCACGGAACATCCAATAAAAAAAGTGCATTGCTATTCCATAAACGGCTCGGACACAGACAGGCACCATACTGCTGTTTCTGTTTGAAAGGGGACCATGATAGTATGGGACACCCGTTGAGGACGGAGTCAGGAAATGACCAGGAAACAGTTTTCGTGTTTTCTAGAGCCCTGCACACCGTGAGCAAGTTTTTGACCCCACCTGGCCCTCCATCAGTCTCCCACACTGTGGGCACAATGATCACCCTTGGAGGTGACAGATGAAGGTGAAGAATAGCAATGAGACTCTTGTCACAATGGAGAATTCAAGAAATATTATTGATCATCTTCCAATACGATTATTGGAATGCGTGAGCGATGGCCAGGGAAGGAAGGCTCTCGGGCCACCTTATTGTAGACCAGACTCTATCCTGTGTTTACTGTATACAGTGTACACAAGAATATTGCATACTGTATGCTCTGTACCACAGAATATGCCACCTGTATACTCTAAGTGGCATACAATATACCTTTATATAGTGTAACACAATGTTCAGGTTTGGATATGAGGTGTCGCCCAATGCTCATGTGTCAGACAATGAAAAAAAAATGTTCATAGGTGAAATATTTGCACTATGATAACCTTGATCTAAATAGTGGATTAATCCACTGATGTGGATTAAGTGGGTGGTGACTGTAGGCAGGTGCAGTGTGGCTGGAGGAGGGGGTCCCTGGGCTGTGCCTTTGGGGTCTCTGTCCTGTCCCTGGTGAACAGAGCTCTCTCTGCCCCCTGGTGCCCAGTCCTGAGCTGCTCTCCTCCTCCAGGCCCTGCCGCCATCTTGTTCTGCCTCCCCTTGGGCCAGAGCCATGGAACCAGTTGTGTATGGACTGAGACATCTGATACCATGAGCTCCAAGAAAACTTTAAATTGTTCTTATTGTGTATTTTGGTCACAGCAACAGAAAAGTCGAATAAAACACACTATATCCTGTTTACTAAACGCCAGCTGTATACAGTGCATATGTGTGTCTGCATATTTGTATGCATATATGCAAATATATATATATATCTATCTCCATATATCATGAATTTTCTTACCTACTTAGCAACATTTACATGTTTGAAAAATCAGCCAGTTCGGATCCATTATATTTTTCTTTCTGCATGTTTTTTGGGAAGATGTCTGCTTCGATGTGACACCTCATGTGTCTTTTATGTATCTTGCAAAATGAATTTCAAGTCTTTTTCTATTAAATTGGGATCTGCCAGGAAAAGGCTGGGCCTCTCTTTTTTCATTGTTGCCCCAAGACATGAAAAGGGGTAAAGATGCCTCCTCTTCCCCCCCCCCCCCTCGGTGTGAGTTTGCCGCCCGGCGTCTATTAGATAGAGAGCTTTTATGAAGCGCCGAGCCACCAGGACAAACAGTGCTCTGTCTGTGGGGCTCGCGGGCTCTGCGGCGAGGAACTCAGTGCATGTTTCAAAGGTAAAGAAAAACACATTTATTTCGTTCTCAAAGAATAGGCCAGAGGATTTGCAAAACCCAGATAAGCCGGCTTCAGCCCGATACCATCTAGCTATTAAAGGTCTCCGAGAGGCACAGGCAGGGTCTGTGAAACCGCCATCAACTCTCGGAGCTGAGCAAACCCAGGGCCATCTCCCCGCTCAGACGCTCCAGAGACGGCATTAGGCCAGTGGAGAACCAGGGGCTCATATTTCCCAATTTCTCCTTCTGCATCCAAAACGCTTTAATTTCCAAGAGGAAAAAAAATCAAAAGATCAGACCCATGGAGCCCAGATGCAATCTCGACAGCAAACATCCAGAGCATTTCCGCGGTCAGAGAGGGACGCTGTGGTCTGGGGTCCATACATGAGCCTGGCCTCCTCTCAGCTCAGCTGGGCAGGAGGCTGTGCTGGCCCTTTAAATAAGATCCATGCAGCAGCTGTCCTTCACCAGGTGGCTCAGTAACTCCTCCCGGACACCAGGGGGCGATGTCGGCTCAGCCTGAAATACCTCCTGGACCCCAAAAGAATCCCCACAGACAGATGGCAGCTGACCCCCTCCAAAGAGATGCATGGGTTTGTGGCTTTGGGTGGCCATTCTAGAAAGATCTTCCCATTCTCGAATTGCAAAAGCACTTAAAGTCTTTCATGAGGGAGGGGGGTGTGTAGTTTGCTGGGGTCCACACCTCATCCCCTACCCCTTTATTTTGTTCTGAGGATGGACCCCAGGGGCTTTGGGCATGCCAGGCAGGTGGTCTACCACAGGTCTGAGGACCTACTATGTGATTCGGTATAAAAAAAAAAAAGAGCAAACCGGGTGCAGGGGTGCACGCCTGTCGTCCCCACGACTTGGAAGGCTGAGGCAGGAGGATTGCAAGTTGGAGGCCGGCCTCAGCAAATTAGCGAAGCCCTGTCTCTAATTTTAAAAATTAATTAATTAAAAGGGAAAAAAATGTAGGATTGGCTATGGCCACTTTGGTCCCAACCAGTGTTTTTAGATTTATAGCTTCACCAGGACCTCATTTCTCACTTCTGCTAGAAGCACCAACTGTGTCATATACTTTATTATTATTATTATTATTTTTGGAGTGGGGGACTGGGGATTGCACTCAGGGGCACTCGACCCCTGAGCCCCGTCCCCAGCCCTATTTTGCATTTTATTGAGAGACAGGGTCTCCCTGAGTTGCTCAGGGCCTCGCTTTGGCGGAGGCTGGCTTTGAACTCTCGATCCTCCTGCCTCAGCCTCCCAAGCAGCTGGGATCACAGGTGTGTGCCCAACAGTTTAAGAAGCCTTCCCTCCTTCATTTCTTTGCACACAAGAAATGAAGTGTCCTTCCAACTTCTCTGGCATGCATCTTTCCTTTCTTCCTCTTTATTATAATGTTTTTTTTTTTTTTTTTTTAATAGTGAAAGCACCAACCTCATCCTCAGACATATCAGCAGCAGGGACAGCTAATGAGAATTTAATGGCTTTATTTGGGTTTCATTCTTCTTTACTGGGTCAATTAAACATATGATAAATGACTCTGACTTTGCCTTTAGGGAAAGCACACAAAGGTGATTTTTTGAAACGTGTAAGAGACAAGAAGTAGGCTCTTTTAATGAGGATTAAGATAGGACTTTTTGGTACAAAGTAAATAATAGATGAAACTGCGCAGGGTGGCATAGGCCTGTAATCCAAGAGGCTGGGGAGGCCGAGTCCGGAGGATAGCAAGTTGGAGGCCAGCCTCAACAACTTAGGGAGGCCTTAAGCAACTCAGTGAGGCCCTGTCTCTAAATAAAACACAAAATAGGGCTGGGGAGGTGGCTCAGGGTAAAGTGCTCTGAGTTTGCGTTCAATCCGTGGTATCCAAAAAAATAAAATAAAAAAGATGTACTACCTATACCAAAGTATATCTACATCTCTACCTATTTTTGTAGGCAGTTCAGTATATATTTATAAATAAAAATTTGAATAGATATTCTATGCATAAAAATATAAAATTGCATCTATAGTGTTAAAAAGATACATACTGAATATAATAAAGTACAAGTGCATGTCTATTTATTATCTATTATCGTCTATCTATATATTTAGGACATGGAAAAATCTTGGTGGCCGTCCATGATTTCTATATCCACGGATTCAAGCAATCACGAGTAAAAATAATTTGGAAGAAAACCTGTGTTTTGGGGCTGGGATCGTGGCTCAGAGGTAGAGCGCCCGCCTCGCACGTGAGAGGCCCTGGGTTCGATCCTCAGCACCACATAAAAATAAGTAAATAAAATAAAGATACTGTGTCCAACTACAACCAAAAAATAAATATTTAAAAAGAGAACCTGAGTGTTTGCAGAATTTTCCGTCGTTATATCTGTCATCCAGAAAATATTTAAAGGGCATCAGACAATGTGGACAGGTTGCATGTCGATATTGTGTCATTTTATAAAAGGGACTTGGGGGGCGGGTCTTCAGAATCTGCTCATTGTGGGGGGGCTTCCTGCAGTGAACTTTCTATAAGAGAAATGGATATATAAATTTGTGTATGTGTGTTTGTGAGTTTGTGTGTATGCACACACACATCTACATATGTTTATATAGGCATATATAGGCACCCACATGTATACACAACAGACATCTAAATCACATACAGTCACATATGTCTACTCAATACATAAAGATACAGAAAACCTATGTTGATACACCTTTGTAATTATCACGAGGTTTACTTTGTTCCTGGGTTTAAAGTATCTCACTCCACCTTGAAAACAAGATTCTAAAATATCGGTAAGGTCAGTTGCCAACGTGACCGACACGTTTCAAAGAATCCTTTTATTTAACAAAAGAGATCAGGTCAGGGCTAGGTTTGAAATAGTGCCAGAGATGGGCTGAATCCAGGGGTGCTTAACCACCGAGCCACACCCCCAGCCCTTTTAAATTTTCACTTTGGGATAGAGTCTGGTAAGTGGCTCAGGGCCTCGCTAAGTGGTTGAGGCCGTGGCCTCCCATTTGCAATCCTCCTCCCTCAGCCTCCGGGAGGATGACAGGCGTGTACTACCGCGCTGGGACCATATTGCACAAGTCAAGGAAATGATTTGGGGGTACAGGTGTGAGAAGGAGTCCAGCCGAGGAGGAGGAGGAGGAGGAGGAGGAGGAGGCGGCACCTACCCGGTTTTGGCAAAGTTGGTCCAGTAGGTCATGACCACGGCGCTCAGCATGACGTCGTTCTTGGAGAAGTTGCAGCTGAAGAGCTCCGTGGGCCCGATCATGGGGATCCCGAAGACGTAGGGGACCTCGTCGCCGTGGGCCGAGTCGGCCCAGCTGGGCTTCATCTCGCTCTGGCAGTGGTGGTAGAAGGCGTAGAAGTAGGTGGGCGAGCCGTACTGGGCGTGCAGGTCGGCGGTGGCCACGGCGGGGGCCACCCACTGGTGGTCGGTGAAGAGGGCCACCAGGGTCTTCCTGCGCGTCTCGGGGTTCTCCTTGTCGGCCCAGTCGGTGTACATGAACTTGATGGTCTCGCGCAGCGTGTCCTTGCCCTCGGGGTAGCCGTACAGGTTGTCGACGAAGTTGGACACGGAGAAGTCGAAGTCGTTGGGGGTCACCCCGTCCTCGTTGTCCACGATGCCGTCCACGAACTTGAGGCCCTCGCCCTGGTTGACGCCCAGCATGATGTCGTAGTTGAGGAACTCGCCCTGCTCCATGAGGATCTGGGGGTCGTCCGGGATCACGTCGCCGTCGATGACGGGGCCGAAGGCGATGTGGTAGGTGGCCGGCGTGATGGCCTGCTGGATGAGCTCCTTGTGGTTCTTGTTGCGCAGGCACTCCACCAGGTCCGTCGTGTCCAGCATGTTGCAGCCCACCTTGTCGGCCAGGAGGCGCGTGTACTTGGCCGGCTGGTAGTTGACGGCCCAGCTGGACAGCGCCGTGCCGCTCTGGATGATGGCCTTTTGGAACAGACCTGCGGGGGCAAGCACAGAGACGCCAGCCAGTGAGAGAGCGCGCGCGGGAGGGAGGTCCCCTTTCTCCAGGCGGTGGAGGAGGATGCTGCTACTGTCCCTGGGGGCGCGCAAAGGTTTGCACCCGGCACCACGCAGCGGAGCCCGTGCGCACCGGAGTGAGGACGCACGATGCATCCGCAGAGCTCTGCGCCATGGCTTTTCTGCACGGGTATATCTCCAGATTAAAAAATATATATAGAGAGAAGGGAGAAAAAAAATGCAGTTTATCTCTGCACAGTTTCATGGATTCTATTTTACTTTTATGCATTTATTTATTTTTTTGCAGATTTGGCTTCATGCACGTGCGTAAAGACGCTCCCTGGTATCCGCCTTCCCCCCCAAACGCATGCTCTGCCCACGCATGAGGTCCAAAGAGCTTGCATTGCTCACAAGCAGGACTTCAGGACTGCGCTGGAGAAAAAATTAAAATAATAAAAATAAAAATAAAATGATAATAATGAAGACACTGGAATCTGATTCAGAGCGAGAATTCAGGGGAGCATGTGTGTTCCTGTCTTTGGTTGAAAGATATTAGGCTTTTATATTTCTCATGGAATAAATAAATGAGCTACGCTTGCAGAAATCTTCAATGGGTCTCCAACTATCTTTTTTTTTTTTTTTTTTAAATTGATCCACTCGTTTCCATGCAAAACTGAGTTTTGTGAGGTTTGTTTTGTCCCATCAGAAATAAAAAAAATGCCTGACTCCGAGGCAAATTTGGAAAGGCCTGGGCAGTTGCAGGAGCAGAATTCTAGGTGCGCTCAGCTCTCCGTGCAGCGGGAGGGACGGAGCTGTGACCAGGTGCGGAGGTGCATGCCCTGTCGGTTTTGAAGGACAAGGAAGCCATCAAAGAGTGCGGGGATATGGTGGCTGTCAGGAGGATGAGGTTGGAAAGGTTGGACGACGGCCCGGAGACTACATGGGATTGGGGCGTGAAGCTGCCTAATGTGTCACTCAAAGGCACCTGGGGACCCCTTTCTGTCAGAAATGCACACTGCGGTGGACTGCACTGACTCCAGTGTTTGCCGCTCAAGAGCGACGTGTTCGAGAGCCCTGGAGGAAAATCATGTGTCATTATTTGACCAATTCGAGGCATTTATAAGTTAAAACGAGAAGTTAAAAATGCTACGAGAGCCGGACCTGGTGGTGCACACTTGGGATCCCAGCAGCCCTAGAGGCTGAGGCAGGAGGATGGTGAGTTCAAAGCCAGCCTCCGCCAAAGCCAGCCTCCGCCAAAGCGAGGCCGTCAGCAACTCAGGGAGACCCTGTCTCTAAATAAAATGCAAAATCGGGCTGGAGACGGGGCTCAGGGGTCGAGGGTCCCCGAGTTCAATCCCTGGTATGCAACTTCCCGAAAAAAAGGTAATCTATGAATTTGTATTTGTCACTATTTAAGGATAATAAATGCCATTTTACATAAGGGACTGGACACATAAGGGATAGGACAGTTTCGACATATGCAAATAGGGCTCCCCTAGATAGTGACAGAGGACTGTCATTGGACCAAGTGCTCCTGCAGATCCCCCCGCCCTCCCCGCCCCGGGGGTCACCTTCATATTACCTTCCGAGTAGTGAGACAAGGTCAGGAGGCTCACGCAGGAAGCTCCGGCCCCTGAGCCGAAGATGGTCACTCTCTTGGGATCCCCTCCGAAGGCTCCCACGTTCTCCTCGATCCACCGCAGGGCCTGGATCTGGTCCAGGAGCCCGTAGTTGCCCTTGGCTGCCTGGTCCCCCGTGCTCAGGAAGCCTGCAGGGAGGAGACCCGCCTGTCAATCACAGCAAGCACCTGCGCCCTGTGCGTATTGAACACTTTTTTTTTTTTATTATTTTTACGTATTGTTGATTGCATTTCTTCTGTGAAGGGTCTGCTCAGATCCTTAGTTCAGTTATTGACGGGGTTATTTACTTTTTTTTTTTGGTGTTACCTCTGGGAGTTAGAGACATGCAGATTCAGAGTACAGGGAGATTTCGTCTCACCCAAGTCAGAATGGCAATTGGGACAATGAATACAAGTAACAATAAATATTGGCGAGGACGTGGGGACAAGGCACACTCGTACGTTGCTGGTGGGACTGCAAAATTGGTGCGATCACTCTGGAAAACAGGTTGGAGATTCCTCGGAAAACTGGAAATGGAACCACCATGTGACCCAGCTATCCCACCCCCCAGTTTATACCCAAAGGACTGAAAATCAGCACACTACAGTGGCACAGCCACATCTATGTTTATAGCAGCTCAATTCATAATAGCTAAGCTGTGGAACCCACCTAGGTGTCCCTCGATAGATGAATGGATACAGAAAACGTGGTACACGTACAGGATGGAATAGTACTCAGCCATGAAGAAGAATGGCATTATGGTATTTGCAGGAGACTACCATACTAAGTGAAATAAGCCAATCCCCAAGAACCCAGGCCAAATGCGTTCTCTGATGTGTGCATACTAATTCACAATAAGGTAGGGGGTTATGGAAGAACAGAGGTGCTTTGGATTAGCCAGAGGGGCGTGAAGGGAGGGGAGGGGTACTGGGTAGGGAGGACAGTAGAATGGATGGGACATTGTGACCCTGGGTGCATATATGACCACGGGAGCAGGGTGATTCTACACGATGTGCATCCAGAAGGAGGAGAAGTGACACTCCATCTATGTAGGACGTGTCCAAGTGCAGTCCACTGTCACGGAGAGCTAATCAGAACAGATCACTTCAGATAAATGCAAAAAAATCTGGTGCTTTAATCACACTCCAAACCCTCAACTCCTGTTCACATCTCCCCAACTGTCCCCCCCGATATCAGGAAAGGTCACTCTTAACATTTAAAACAAGGAGGATTCTCTCAGGTGACAGTTTAGATTTTTGCTAAAGACCATCACATGACCAACTCCCCCTTGGGAGATGCAGACCAGGCAAATTTGGCCTCTTCCACAGCAGGACCATCAGCGACCCTGTCTCCTCCCCCATTTTCTTGAACACTGCAAAACAATTCGACCTGGGGGGAAAAAAAAAGTGTCTCTCCCGTGATGTATTCAGGTCACTTCACGGCAAGATGGAGAGTCACCTTGGCAGAAGCAAAAATCACGCATCTTTTTAAAATTTTTCCCCCTAAAGCATCCTGCGTGTTTAATTAGTTGCACGGACGGTCACTCAGAGGCGTGCACTGCCTGAGATTTTTCCAAATGGAACAAACCAAGGACTAGGAAGCCGCTGGATGAAGAGGGTCTAAAACTGCAAATCACCCTCTGTCCAGCAGGAGGCGCACACGGACGCCCCACCTCGTCTTCCTGCAGGGATTTTTTTTCTTTGCACCCGAGGGAACCCCACTCTCCTGGTCAGAGGGGGTTAGGAACTCCCCCGGAGCAAGACAGCTGCCAAGGTCGGCATGGAAACAAGGTCACACAGAAGCAGATGTGTCTGGCACATTCTGGGGCAGATGAGCTGGGGTTCCAGGGGACGCTGGGACCTGGAGGCATTATTCATTAGTGTTTAATGAGCAATTATTTAAATAGTTTAAATGAGCAATTACTCATTAGTGTTTCCGGGCAGGGAGGTGTCCTGCAATGTCACAGCGTCATCACGGACATGTTTTGCACAATGCTTAAAAAAAAAAAAAAGAATTGTGCAGGGGTGTATTGAAGGGATAGAAAGGGGAAGGGGACACTCTCGAGGGACAGAGGGGTCCTCTCAGAGAGGACAGGGACAGCGTGCCCCTCCTGCCCTCCAGTTCTATTGGGGTCCCAGGGAAGTTCCCAGAGCTCCGCCCAGGTCCCCTCCTGACTCTGACGGACAGCAGGGTGACCTCCGACTCTCCAGTCCCTACGGCCATGGCCACTCTGGGTCACCCTGGCCCCTGCTGCCTGGTTCTCAGTGGAACCTGTTCTTGCAGATTTTAGGGTTGGAGGAAGGATCCTTGTCCCCCTGGGTCCTGGGACCTGGTATGCGTCAGGGACGTGACTTCCCACCTGCATTTCCCCTGCAGGTCACAGGAGGTTTGGGAGGAAGGTGGCGGAGCCTGTGGCGGAGACTGTGCCTGGAGGCCAGGCAGGGCTGCAGGTCCAGAGCTTCTTGGAAAGGAAGCTGTGGGGTCAGCACCGGGGGCCGCTGATAGACAGGAAGGGACTGTGCTGAGATGCCCATGTCCTTATCTGCAGACTCAGGACTGGGTTTGTCGACACGGGGATCCCTGCAGACCTTAGGGCCTCCCTTTGGCTGAGGCTGGCTATAAACTTGGGATCCTCCTGCCTCAGCCTCCACAGCGTCTGGGATGACAGTTGTACACCCCTGTTCCCAGCCCCATCAGAGATATTTTGATGCTTATGGATGGAAACCAGCCAGAAGGGTGGGATTGCAAGCCCTCTCTTCTTCCCAAGTCGGTTTTCCAACACACACACACACACACACACACACACACACACACACACACGTGCTATGAACACAGACTCCTTCCCTGGGCTCCAGGGCACAGGGCCAGGCTGTGTCATCTCGGGCTCCACCTCCAGACATGCAAAACCTCACGCGATAAATCATTTTTTGGCTCTTGACCTTATCCGCCTGCCCTATTGCTCTCTGGGCCATTCTAGACGGTGCCTCTGTGGATAGGGCCCTTGCAGAGCACAGCGCCCCCTGCAGGCCAGCCCCAGAGAGGCTTCTGTTCGGTTGCTTTTTGATTTCCCTGCACACAGTAGGCCCGCGCGCTCTGCAAAGCTTTGCAAAACGGGCAAAGTTTGGAAACTCAGACGTCAGGACTAGGTGGAAGGGGAGTTTCGGGTTATGCAAACGGGGAGGTTTGGGGTGATGGAGTATCTCCCCATAGACTGAAGGATGCATCTCAGGCTACTGGTTGCAAAACGATTTTGCAGAAATGTGATTTGTATTTTTTTATGCAGTCAGGGTCTCAGTGTTCAGTTAAAAACCGACCCTGAAGATCAAGACCAAAAATAAAAGGACTTTTTTTTTTTTTAAACTGCTGCATAACTTAGGGGGATTTTTTACTGGAGAATTTTTTGAAGGGTCCCCTGCCCTCATTAAATGTATTCTTAATTAGAATCTTGCAAGTCATTTGAACCGAGTTCATATTTTTTTCACCATCCAATTAGGTGTGTCCCAGAAGACATAACTGGTGCATGGTTTTTATCTCCTCCTTTTACTTATTTGCACCCCAGTAATTGCAGCGATCGGGGAGGCTGAGGCAGGAGGATCATGAGTTCAAACCCAGCATGGACCAGTTAGAGAGACAAGGCTACTTGGCAAGAACATGTCTCAAAAAATAAAATATAAAAAGAGCAGGGGATGCAGCTGGATTCAATCTCCAGTACTGAAAAAAAAAAAAAAAAGAAAGAAAGAAAAAAGAAAAAAAAAGAAATTAAAAAGAATGCTTTTTTATTTTTAAAGAAAAAAGGCAGTCATATTTTTGAACCTTCATACTAGGCAGGATATTGTGAAATGCACACAAGAAAAGATGACTTACAAGACATTGTTTCATGAATATTACATGATGCTCATAAATCCTTTAACAGGGGCTTATTCCAAACACATTGTTCTCTTGTTATCCCAGTGGCTCAGGAGGCTGAGGCAGGAGGATCATGAGTTCAAAGCCAGCCTCAGCCAAAGCGAGGCCCGACGCAACTCCGGGAGACCCTGTCTCTAAATAAAATGTAAAATAGGGCTGGGGAGGGGGCTCCGGGGTCGAGTGCCCTGAGTTCAATCCCCGGTATCTACCCAAGCCCCCCAAGAAAAGCAGATGAGGTTAGCAAAGCTCCTTTAATGCGTGACTTTGAATGAGGTGATGGGTATCAAAGTACTTCACCTTTTGCAAAACCGCATAAAACTCGAGTTGTGATCATCATGTGCAGGAAAATTTACTAAGGACTTGGGCGTAAATAGCTGATAGCACAGATGTATCAAATTATCCCACTGCACCCCATACCTGGGTGCAATTACTAGGTGCTCATTTAAAATGTAT